CCGACCCTGCTTAGTTTCCGAGATCAGACAGGGTCCGACTTGTTTAGGGTAGCATGGCTGTAGGCAGAAAAGAACATATTTAAAAAGAATAGTCTGGTTTGTTTGATGGTGATGGATGTAACAGCAGGTTATATGTAATAAATAGTATAGTAATTATTTAAAGAAAATAAAAATATGACCCATCCTTTTAGTCAGGTTTCAGCTTTTACATTTTTTTAAATAAAGACTATTATCATTTATTAGTTTATATTATCTCCACATGCAGTTTATGTTATTGTCAAGCCAGAAAAAGGGGGCTTGCTGTAAGACTACTTTCCTGGTCCTAATATATTATGGTGATATTTTATCTTGTTTCGTTTCCTATTATGTTCCCATTTAGTTGTGATGTTTTTCTTTCCCATGAGCTTCTTATCCATTTCCAGGGCCTGTACATGTGAAATAAACTATTTAAGAGTCATCTCGGAGGAATAACTGTGGGAAGATAGTAACAGACAAATTCAAGGGTACCTTATATATCATTGATAATACCAGCAAGTGTAACTGATGTTACCCTGAGAAAAAGCTTTTATAATCTCTATAGAGGGACATTAGGGCAAGAGAAAACAATCTATTCCCTGAAGAGCTTATAGTCCAGATGGGTAGATGCGACATATATACATAAAACCACTACGATTCATTTCCTCCCCAGTATGATACTTGAGTTAGTCTAGCAGAACCATGGAGTAGAGAGTGATAAGTGCATACTAAATGCAAGAATGTTCTAGATGATAAGATTATAATCAAGCACATTCTCTGTCTTGATGGACATACAGATTGGCAGAAAAATGAGTGAAATGACATTACTATTGTGAGAAGAACAAAGCATATAGCAAACAGGTCTTTCAGAAGTTGATGTGTCACCCTACGATAAAATCAAAGATAATGCTATAAAGTTGAGAGACCCATTGAAGAAGCCTCTAAAAGATTGAGGAGATGATTAAATACAATGCTTTGGTGTTCTTCCTTACTGTCTTATTCCCTACCTAGATATGCATGATCGCTACAGGCCTTTATGGTAAATACTGTTGTAGCGAGTATATTAGCTTGTATGGCAAGTTCATGTTTACTGCCAACTAAGATACAGCTGGACAACTCTAGTCTAAAAACACTTTAATTGGAAAAAGAAAAAAAAACACTAGACTATTAATAGGGGTTATCTTTAGCATGTACAGTGAAGTTTTTTTTCTGTAGTTTAAATTATTTTCTATAATGAATTTATTTCATTTCTACAATGAAAACAATAGATTATTTTGTTTAAAA